AAATATTTCGTAGCGTAAATCAAATAATTTGACCGTTGCAATGGAAATTATATGAGCTGGTGCATTACGAGTATGTAGGTGGAAAATAACTTTTTTTTTTGTCAAATAGAGGTACTTTTCCTTCAGTATAGCATGAATCGCTCTAGTAATGAGGCATAATATTCTTCTAGAAAATACTATCCTACTCTGTGGAAAATAGATTAATATGTTAAAAGATATTAATGTATCTATATTCAATGAGGTTGATACCCTTTTTATAATAGGAACTGTCTTTTTCTTCGAAATAGCCACTAACTGCTGATATCACTTCTTCATCGTTGGAAAATATTTGCCCACTGAGTCATTTTTTTTAATTTGAAAACGGATAATAATTCGACAGAACTAAATCTGGCGAATAGAGTGCATGAGGTAGCAATTCAAACTTTGATTCGTTAATTTTTTCCATCACAATAACGGATCTGTGAGCTGGTGCATTTTCTTAATGAAACAACACTTTCTTCTTAACCAAATGTGGCCATTTTCACTTGATTTTTTCACTCAAACGTTGCAATAAATTAGCATAAACTCGCCGTTTATAGTTTTTTCTTTTTCAAGATAACAATGAAAATTATTCCACGCGCATCCCAAAAAACCGACGTCATGATCTTGCCTGCAGATGGAACGGTCTTCGCCTTCTTTGAAGTCGGTTCTCCCTTTTTAGTCCATTGTTTTTGTTCTTTTATCTCGGGTGTGAAATGATGGACCCATGTTTCATCCATGGTTATGAAACGGCGTAAAAATTCTGCTTTGTTATTGTGAAACTCCGCTAAACACTCAATTAAAACATCCTCACGACACGGTTTTTGTTTGTGTGTGAGCAGACGTGGCACTCATCTTGCACACAGCTTTCTCATGTCCAAATTTTCAGATAATATGCGATGTACTGCGCATTTTGAAATGCCTATTATGTCTGCTAGTTCGCGCACTTTCAGTCGACGATTAACCAGTACCAGTTTGTGGATTTTTTTCATCGTTTCTGGAGTCGTCACCTCATTTGGTCAACCACTGCGATACTCGTCTTGACAGCTCGGACGCAAACCCAATGTTTTTCTGTTGTAAACGAAGGAGTAGATTCACCCAGAGTAGAATCTAGGTCATCTTTTATATTGGTTGGGCTGAGACCTTTCAAATAAAGGTATTGTATCACATATCGATGACCAATTTTTTCCATTTTCACAAATTCATTGTCAACGTTCGCTATTAATAGCTGCCAAACAACGACTAAACAATGTGGGATCTTGAAAGTTGAAACATATACTTTATAGATTGTTTACTTTCTAAAACAGTGGTATTTTTCAAACAACTACTCCCATCTCTAGGTCACGCCGGGTATTTCTGGAACCACTCTCGTATGAGCAATCGATGCCAGCTGATTGTCGATCGCTTGTCTCCGTCAACTGCAGTATCGATTTGACCTTGGGCGCCAGAAAAAAGTGTGTGTGGCGCGTAAGTGTCCGATACGTTGGATTTTCCAGTGATTTTGCTCGTTCTTTTGCAGTTTTTCAGCGAGTGCCGGTATGCTTTCCCTGTGAGTACGCGAGTTCAGCCGTCTCATATTTTAGACGAATTTGTCATCGTTTTTCCAATTATTTTTACTCCTCCGCGGTCGCCGAGTGTCATTTGCGTAGTCATGAATTAGCATTGTTTTTCGCTTCGTAGCGATGTCGGTGCAAGGTAGAGCGCTTACGGTTTTTAATGTTCTCTCTCGTCTCAGCTGCTCTCCTCGTAGTTCGCCTTCCGTCGGATCGCGTCACCGGCTTGTAACGTCATTCTGTCGGATGTGGGTGAACGAATTTGAAAATAGAAGGTTGTTTCTATTAGAGCGCAAGTAGGGCATAATTATTCTGTTGGTTATGGGTGGCAAAGGATGGAGATGACTTTCCTGAGGTATTGCAAATAATATAGTGCTCTCAAGATAAGCCTGGTAATGCCGAGCATTACACACGAAAAAAAGTAACGGCTCTTTCAAAAGCCAGATCCGAGTTCATTTAGATTCTACAGTGCATCTTCGCTTACCCTATGTATCACCACACTCCTTTTTTCAATGGATAGCGTTGATGCACACAATGAATACGTATTTTTAACTTTATAACAACGTTGCTTGCTCTGTTTTTACGTGATCTCTCTCTATCTCTCTCTCTCTCTCTCTGTGGTACGTACAACACCTTCTTCTTCCGCTCCGTTAATACTCTGCCTTACTCATTTTGTTTTCCTTCTTGGAGTGAAAACTCATTTTGCAGGGTATTCGCCAACTGCGGCTCTTATGCCTGGGCAATAAATCGCAATTTTTATTGCCTTTTTCGAGCCGCGGAGGCGATTAAATACCCGGCTACACAACATAACCTACAAACTTAAGCAATAACGCCTTACACACACACGCTTCAGCACACCTACGCTTCTACACACTACGGTTTCATCTGTGCTACTACACACTACGCTCTCATCTGCGTCCACTGCACTAGCTGCATATCGTTGCTGCTGCACTCATTGAACACACTCGACTTTGCTCCAACCTGCCGTAGCTGTTCTCGACTGTATTCTACCTACATGTTGGTGAGAGAGAGAGAAAAAACACAAATCTCGTGCATGCCTATCTGCATCCTTATATGCGTTGCATAAATTTGCATTATTGTATTCCCTTGCGTTATCGTGCATTTCATATAATACGTTCTTATAAGTATTGCTGAGTTTCCATATACTGTGTTTATGTTTACATTTTGCTTGTACGTTTGTATACCTGTTCAGCTGGGCAAAGTTGCTGGCTAGAGTCTGCTTGGCACGCAATCACCCGCGAAATTCGAAATTCGTCAAACTCTCACGTTCGGACAATCAACTGTTGCCTCTGCCAGCATCTCTCGCTCAAGTAGCTTTCCCCTGTCTGTCTACACCGGCCTGGTTCTATGTCCAGTCAATGCGCTAAATGCCTGTTTTCCCTGCGCCGTATTGACAATACTCTTTTATGCACTGAATGTAACGCGCTCCTTCATATCGACTGTGTATCGCCGTCACTGCGTCCCAGGGGATCTGAACCATTCATCTGCAGGAGTCATCAACATACAAGTAGCAGCGACTCGTCGTTGGCGTCTGTCGTCGAGGCTTTTCCCCAGTCTTCACCAGTAGGTCCACCGGCCGCTGGTGCGTCCCTCTTACCTTATCTCTCCAAGAAGCGGCTCGCCTCGCCCACTCTGTCTAGCTTACACGCACCGAAACTCCATTGCCTGGGTCCTCCATTGTTACGCCGCAATTCAACAACTGTAGACAGATCCTCGCCTGCATCGTTGGAGAATTCCTCTACTGCCTCTCACCAGACTATACAGGTAGAGCCTACATCTGAGCCAATCATGTCTGATAAACCACCTACTTGGTTTGTTGGCTTCCTCAAGGAATTCCAAGACCTCAGAAGCGATATCAACTCTATCAGCTCCACTCTCCAGCATTCCGTCAAACAAAATGATATCAACAATAAACTTGCTGCACACATTGATACCCCAGAGGTTATGGTTCGCGGGCTCCCCTCGCAGTTTAATGGCTCGCTGTATGATGCCGCTCGCTACATATTAAGCGCTCTTGGTTTTGGCCACGGCCATGACATGCCTGCTATCGAGGCCACCCGAGAATGGGATCAGCCAAACCGCTACCAAAATGCGCAACAAAATGTTGACGCCCCCGCAGAGTCCTCTCACCCATGCCCCCCTTTTATCATTTTCTCATTCTACCTCTCATCAACCTCCTCTCGCGATCGCGTTATCGCTGCAACAGCTCGTATTCGTGAGCTCACCGCCCTATCCATTTTTGGGTGCGGTGGAAGCACCCCTGTCTACGTGCGCCCAGTCTACCCCAAAGTCATCTACGATCTCCTCACAAAAGCTAGAGCTGCCTGCACATCTCTTGGCTATCTCCGTCCTGTAGTCCGCAATTTGCGTATCTTCGTGCGACCGACATTTAATTCTGAGCTTTTGCCGATTCTCTGCGAGGAGGATCTACACTGTCTCCCCCCCCCCCAATCAAAATCAAAATCGCTCAGCAAACCTCTCACTCAACGCTATTACCCCTACTCGTGGCTCTCGACCATTCATTCCACGAAAGTCCCAGCGACTGCAGCAACCACAAAGTAATCAGCATCAATACCCGCATCAGTTACCTTCACTACTACAATACCAACAAGCGCAACAACCACCACAGCAATAGCAGCAGCAACCACAGCAACAGCAGCAGCAACCACCTCAACGGCAGCAACAACAGGAACCTCTGCATAGTCAGTAGCTACTACAGCATCCGCCACCCCAATTGTCTCAACAGCTTCATCAACAACCCCCGTCCCTGCAGCAACAATATCACCAGCCCCAAACGTTCCATGCCCAACTCCAGAATCAGCCACTCCAACAGCCCCAGCTACCGCACCTGCAAGCCACGCACCAATAAAAATGCTTGCAGAAAAACCGTGGCCGGAAAACGGGGCAAAACTCTGGTCCGCATCTGCTCCCCGTTCTGCCTGCTCATCCCTCATCCGCTGTTACAGCATCCTCCAATTCTCACACTGGCCAACCCCCACTTCTAAATCATCCGAGCATCAGTCCCGATGCTGCCCCTCGAATGTCTTCACTGGCAATGGATACGGCGGAGCCTTCACTCTCAAGTGGGACGAACTACCGTCAACCTTCCCACATCGCAGATGATGCATCCCTTCCCACTGAATGCACTATGGGAAATCCACCTACCATTGATTAACCCTCAGGGTCAATACAGCCCTCAATTGTTGCCCCCCCTCCCATTTTCTGTGTAGCACATGCAAATGTAAACCGCCTGAACCACGGCGGCCATTTCGCCCTTCTTGAGGACAGAGTATCCCACTCACACTATGACGCTGTTGCCATCACAGAAACGTTCCTAAAGGATACTGTGGCTGACTCTCACCTCTCTCTCTCTCTGGATTCAACCTATTTCGACATGATCGCTCAGCCATGGAAGGTGGTGGTGTTGCTCTCTACATTCGTGACAGCTTCTCCGTTCGCATAATTGCCAAATCGCATCCTGATGACTACAATGCGTCAGAATTTTTGGTGGTGGAATTACAACAACATGCAAAACTTCTACTTGCTGTAGTCTATCGTCGCCCGTCTGCGTTGTCTCCACTGAATTTTTTCCAAACCATTGTCCCTCTTCTCCCAAATTATCATGACGTGATAATTTGTGGAGATTTCAACTGCAATCTCTTATCGCACACACTACACTACGTCAACGTGCTCCGAGAACAAATCGAGCGTTACGCCTTAAAAGTCGTCTCCATGCTGCCTACTTGTCATCGATTCCAGGATGGTCATGCTTCTCACACTCTTCTGGACCTCTTCTTAATTAAAAATGACACAGATATCCACTCCTTTTCAAAAACGCCGGCCCCATTTATTGACTGTCACGACCTTATCGAGCTTTCTATCTACGCCACGGTTCCCCCCTCAGCCACGAAAACCATCTTCATTCGCAAACTGAAAAGTGTTGACACAGTACAGCTAAATTTACTGGTTGCCGAGGGCGTTGCCGTACAGTATCCACCACCGCAGACTACTCTTACTGACCCAAGTCAATTGTCCCTGGATTCACTCGAACGCTTCCTCTCAAACGCCGTGCTGAAAGCCTTCGACAACCTTGCCCCGGTTCGCCAGACAAAACTGTCTGCCAAGGCTAAGCCGTGGGTATCAGCTGACATTCGCATCCTCATGCGTGCTCGCACGGCGGCGTACAAGCGAGCAAAAATAACTGCGCTTCCAGGTGACATTCGGAGGTACAAAGACCTTCGAAACCGTGTTTCAAACCAGCTTGACACTGCAAAAAATAACCACATCTCGGCCAAACTTGCATCTGCCACAGATCCCAAGACCAAATGGAGAGAGCTTCCCTGTCTCGGTATTGCACAAAAATCCATGCCGTCTCCACTATCATTTTTCTCACCCACAGCGTTAAACTGTCACTTCGCCAAAATCATTAACCAGCTTCCGCCTATTACTCTTTCCTGCTACGACAATCTCACATCGATACCACTCTCTCGCTCATTCTCATTTCCCCAATTCAATCTAAACCCGGTGTCAGTCAAGGACGTGGAGGATGTTCTCGCGGATGCCCACTCAAAGTCAAAAGGAGAGGACGGGATCTCGCTGAGAATGCTCTCGATGGTTTCGCAAACTGTCCTTCCGTACTACACCATGCTTTTTAATCACTCAATTGCCAACTCACTTTTCCCCACGCTCTGGAAGCGCACGCAAATTGTCCCGCTCTCCAAAGTGAAGTCTCCTACCCCCCTTTCGGACACACGACCTATTGCTAAGCTGTGTGAGCCTTCGAAGCTCTTCGAGCGCCTCGTCCATCGTCAATTGTCAGCCTACCTTCAGCAGCATCACCTGCTCGACTCCCGCCAAGCCGGATTTAGAAGGGGACATTCTACCGAGACCGCGCTCCTTGGTCTTCTCGACGATGTTCGGTTTGCTACCGAAAATAGGCTTCTCACCATCCTTGTGCTTTTTGACTTCTCAAAAGCCATTGATCGCATCTGCCACTTGCGACTGATCACTAAACTGCGCAATATAAACCTCTCCGACAAAGTCCTCAAATGGTTTTTCAACTATTTGGCGGATCGCGTTCAGGCGGTGGTAGATGAGGGAGGCGTTGTCTCTGAGTGGCTCCGCGCTTCCACCGGTGTCCCGCAGGGGAGTGTCCTTGGCCCTCTACTCTTTGCCATCTACATCAACGACCTTCCGATGGTCTTGTCATCTGCCAAGTATATCATCTATGCGGATGACACGCAAATATATGTGCATTGTTCCCCGCGGGACATTGAGCGTGGCATCGTGGAGGCCCAGCGAGATGCACAAGCGGTGGCTGATTGGGCTTTGGGCAATGGCCTTGATCTCAACCTTGCCAAAACGAAGGCTATGATCTTGGGCAGCGAATTGTATGTGACTGCCCTTGACCTCACCAGTTTGCCTTGCATCACCGTCAACGGACATAAGATCCCCTTCGTGATGGCGGCAAGGAGCCTTGGGGCCACCCTCTCTCCTACGCTCCAATGGAAGTCACATACTTCAGACGTAGTGAGGAAGGTTTACGGCTCTCTCAGCTCTCTTAAGTTCTATCGCCGTTCTTTGTCGCTCGCTCTCCGCAAGACTTTGGTTGAGTCACTGGTACTCCCACTGCTAAACTTCTCGTCCACCGTCTTCATGGATCTTGACAAGACACGTACTCGTGACCTCCAGGTGGCGCAAAATGCCTGTGTCCGATTCATCTCTGGTAACATCCCATTCCTACCAAATAATAACCTCACCTCTCATGTTACGTTCCACCGCCTGAAACTACGTTGGCTCACACTCTCATCGACACGTCAACTAGCCCTCGCGAAACTATTTTATAAGGTCGTTTGTAACAATGGCCCGTCGTATCTGACTGGCCACATATCACTACTGAACCAACTTACTATCGCCCGCCGCTCTATTCGCAATATACCCGCGGCCTTCCACTTTCGTGCTCCACGCACTGAGTCCTGGAAGAGATCATTCGCAATCAGAGGTATGGATCTCCTAAACCAACTTGCAGTGACCACTTTTTCCTTGGAACGACTCACTGAATTCAAATACTGGTTATTTGATCTTCTTTTCCTCCTTGAAATTGACAGATTCGCTATCCGGGTTGCACAGGAGCAAATGACAGGTATAGTACAGCCTCCTTCGCTTACCTACCCCATATTTCACGCCCGTACAACGTCTCTGCGTTCGCTCCTAATCCTTCATATCTACTGGTGGGCGGCAGATATTTGCGTTATCGATTCCTGAATGATGAACCAAATCTCTCCCTCCAATCTAAACTGTAAATATGCCCCCTCCCACTACGTTAATTAAGTTTATATATTAAGCTCGTGCGCACCTCTCTGAGGTTCTCTTATTTGTATTCTTAGATTATATAATTAGCTTAGTCTCTACATGTACATTTGCGCTGCCTTGCACTTCTATGTATCAACTAGATTCGACTGCTGTCTTGCAACAATCCGCTTGCTAAAACATGCCGTTTGTACGCTTACAATACTGCTATTGTCACTATCACTATTATATATTGTCAACTGTGTATTTCTTCCAACCACACGGGGTCCTACCCCATGGTTTAATAAAGATTAATCAATCAATCCCTCTCTCTCTCACTCACTCTACAGATGTAGTTAATGCACACCAGTCCCTAAATACATATTATAATCACATTAGTATATTCCGACTTTCATTTCTTGTAACTATCGTCTAACGTTACAAAATATAAGATGTATATTTTTATGAAATTATGAGTTACAGAATTTAATTATAGGAAGTACAGAAATAAGTATATATAACCCAATTTACAAAGCAAATTTTTAAAAATAATTATTAAAATTAAGTTAATAACGGAAAATCATTGTCCACTGCGAATCTTTATGTTATTATTATGATGAATTAAATGAAAAACAGAAGCAGACTTCGTTTTACTTTCGTTTTACTTGAAATAATCAATCACTATGTAATGTAAATTTGAAAATCTAAGCTTAATCACTGATTAAGAATGCTTCCCACAATACGAACCTTCAAAATTAGCATGAATATTTACAATACAGCACATTGGTTTTTATCTATATCGATATTGTAACTACGCAACACAGTAACATTATTGGAGAAAGTTGAATATCTATGAGATAGATAAACAACTTTAACTGTAATTAGTACGACGAACTTCCGACTCGAATGCGATGCTCAACTCATGTAAGGTATAAGCTAGAGCCGGCACTCTTACTGAGACTTCCAAACTGGACAGAACTCGAATTGGAACTCACACATAACTAGCAACGGATCCAATCATTCTTCGATCCTCTCCCGATATCCAACCTACATATAAAGCTCTAGAAATTGAACAAATCTCTCCATCGTGTTACAAAGTAAAGCGTAGCAACAGGTGTGAATCTATAAAAACTGATTCCCGGCATTTTCTACTAAAAAACTCTTTCGATCAATTTCGCGGAGCAGTAGTGTTGAAAAGACGCGAGAGTTACTTACCTTTAATAAATAATAAGTCTTGCTACGAATCCAACGTAAGAATCACATTACAATATTAGGATAACATGGATAACCTGGGAATTGAGGTTAAGTTTTACATTTCTGATATTGCAATAATTGAATCGATGAACATTGGATGCCTTGATAATTTTTTCGATCGGTTTATAAAGCTAAAATAACAGCCTAGTTTTTCCAATGTTTCTGTAGTTTTAACCATCCAAAAATGGTTTCTATTTGTAGGTTGAATGAGATACTCATATAATTGCCAATTGCTCAAGGTCATCAAAATGCTTCTTTCATTTTTCAAAAAATCAAATAGATGGCTTTTATCAGCATTCGATACAGTTACATATAACGTAAGCCACTCGTAATGTGTAATATCAATTTTGACGTTGTCTATCATTTTCTTAACTTATGATTAAGATTTTCTTCATTAATTTATTTAATGATAAATAATCATATTTCAAGTTCACTGGAACATTGCAGTAATCTGTAAGCATTACAGTAACAATTTGCAATGGTTAATAAATCATTCTCCTATGTGTACTCATCCAGCTTATTAATAAATCAAAGTTTGACTTTGATTGAGATATAGCCAATTTTTCATGTAACGTTGGCTCTCATAATCGATCGTTCGCCGGTTCCGGACTGAGAATGAGTGTGTGTGTATGTAAGTGTATAAACACTTATACCTATTTTCTATTTTAAGGTGCGGAGGATGAGCTGATCGGTTAAGCCAAGAGCGGCCGACGACTGCAGAGAAAAAAAACTGCGAGCGCAAGGGGCGCGTAAGCACGGTTGCGAGTGGCCGCAGTACTTTGTGAATTTAAGAGCTGCAGAAGGAGAGCTGCGGCCAGCGCTAACAAGAGCGCCTGTTCTTCAGTCCTATCGTGAAGTTAGTCGAACGAGACGGCTTGACCGAAGCCAAGGCCTAGGAGATAGTAGGTAGAGATAGTAAGAAATACGCAGTTGGGACACAACCAGCTCCTCAGAGTCTAGTATATTAAGTAAGAAAAGCTCCATCATAGAGGACGAGAGAATAAATCACTGATGAAACTATTAGAATCGATACGAGAATGCTCAGTGGAGCCTTGAGAGGTTACACTAATAAGAGGCTCACAACCTATTAAATGATAGATCAACCGATAGTATGACAGCTGTTAGAGTCTGAAATATCAAGTTCAATGAAAGTTGTTTTTTATCACCAGCTACTTTTACACCTAGAATTTTTAGAATCTATATACTAGTTAACGTTTTCAGTTTTCGTGAATAATTGACATCTGAACATGTAATGCTTTCACTTTTCGCTGAAATTGATAGCTGGGTTACATATCACAATGGTTATACAGCTTCTTTGGTAATTATAAATTATTTAGATTATACACTTTTATGATGTAATCTGATGGTTACAACTTCACCATGAAAATACATCGAAATTCAGTTCTAATCGAAGATATGTAACTGTAATTGATTTATATTTTTCATAATAACTGATTAACAAATCACAGATAAAAGAATTTCACTGATTTTATGTTTAGATTGCACTATTGAAAAAAAATTCATGAATATTGTAAACTTTCTTTTTGTTTATAGATGCTCCTGTGATCATATAATATTCTATTCTTAAAGTGTTTGCCTTAAGAATTCAAACAGTTAGGTTATAGCTGTTACTTTTTCTTTTTTCTTCTAATTTACGTGCTGTAAAGCATAATAGTTCACCAATCGAACCTTGAAAATGGAAATCAATACCTTCTGAACATTTAATATTGCTGCATAACGTGTTATATTTGGCATTAATATAACTCATCAAACTTACTGTTATAATTAAAATCAAGGATTAGCAAAGAAATTTGTCAATGTCTGCCATTTCGTAAATAGCCAATAGGTTAATAGAATGGTGGAAATTACAAACCGATACCGATGCTCGCACCGCTTTATTTCAGGGTCAATACCTGAGCAGGGCATCGTTATTGGGAGTTAATTAGTAGCGAGAACGACTGTAGCAAGATGAAAAAAGAGATAGACGCGTCGCGAGTAAAGTGTAAGCGAGCGCGAGCGACCCGCGGCGATCCGCTTGCAAGAGCAAAGCCGCCGGCGTTGCTCAAGCCGGTGCGCGAACGGATAGGGATGAGAGTTCAAGCCGAGATCTTGAGTAATAAGGATCAATATTGATGGTTAAGCGTGCGCACGCGAGAAAACCGAATAGCTAAGCGGAATCAAAGGAGCTAATCCACGTCGAGCAGAGTATAGCCCGGAGGGAATTTCCATCGACACCTGAGGCATTGTGGAATCCAATTGGACATGCCGTAAGCCTGCCAGCAGCTCCAGCAGTATTTCCTGACAGCCGCTCCAGCAGTATTTCCTACCAGCAGCATTCGCAGCATTTCCTGCCAGCAGCACCAGCAACGCTTCCTTCTAGCAGCCTTCACAAAGTCAGGTCGTCTCTCTCTCTTTATCTCTCTCTATTCGCGAGTGCGCGTCGCGTCGGCGAAGTGTTCGCGATCATCCGCGATCACGGCGAAATCGGCGAACAAGGCGAGTCCCTCTTTTGTAGTCTTCTCAAACTATTGTAACGTGCCCCCGTGCGATTGTCCGCACGTGCGCAGGCACACGGCCGTAAACCCGCGTCGTCGCTCTTTTGATTGCACAGGCACACAAAAAAAAAAAAGTGGTCTGTACCAAAGACGACATATATGTACTCATACGTATTTTGACGCGCTGAATCCGAATCCGGGGTCAGTTTGACCCCAGCACGTCAGGTTTAAGGGCATTTGAAGGTCAAATCCCGAAAAAAGTCGTTCGAGAAGAAATGACTATAGTTTTTATGGTTTTGAGGGTCGCTGAATCCGAATTCGGGGTCTGTTTCACCCCGTCGTGTCAAAGTCAAGGTCATTTCAAAGTCAAATATGTTTATTTTGCAAAAAATGAATTTTTGACTGCAGATTCTGAAAGAACGGAAAATTTTACGTTCAGATATGTGTTTTATTTATTTTTTTTTAGGACTTAAGGTCATTCCAAGGTCACTTTATGTTGCTATACCAAGGGTTTACATGTCAATTGTAAAATTTCGAAAATGTGGCTTCATAGAACTAAACTGCTATGTTAATAAGTTTTAGGGGTCGCTGACTTCGACTCTGGAGTCCGCATAACCCCATCGGATGGAGGTCAAGGTCATTTCAAAGTCAAATTTGTTTCTTTTGCGGAAAGTGAAATTCTCAGTGCATACCCGGCACTAACTGAAATTTTTACGTTAAAAAAATGTACTTTATCGACACCCCATATATCACTTTAAGATCACTTTATGTTTTTATGTAGAATTCATGTCACAATTGCAAATGACAAAAATACACCTTCTTAAGATTAGAGGATATGTACCAATGCAGTGTCTAACATGAAAAAAAAAAACAACAACAAAAAAAAGAGAACATAAAAACAAGAAAAGATATGCGTTTCAAAAGAATCCAATCAAATAAACTGAAGCACAGCTAGTCCCGCTTCATAGAGATACCGATTCTTGAAGAAACAAATAGCGCTACGGGATCGTAAAAAATACCTTATACTTTTATTCTTTCGTAGCGAACTCTTTTGTCTTCAAAAGATCTATGCAGAGGATTTCTTTTCCTCTTTCGCGTAACTTGCTCGTTGTCCCTCTTTAGCGACCAACAAAAGTCTGCCATCATATTTATATCCCACCTTCCTTGATACCGACGTTCCATTTCCTTGATATCTTGGTGAAATCGTTCACCCTGTTCTTCGCTGTAGTCTCCCAGATTTTCCGGAAAGTAGTCCAAATGAGAATGTAGGAAATGTAATTTTAAGTTCATCAAGCAACCTAACTTTTTGTAGTTTGCCAATAAATTTTCAACTATGGTCACGTAATCGTCACTCTTTTGATTGCCCAAAAAATTCTCTGAAACTTTCTTGAAACTCAGCCAAGCCGCTTTTTCAGTATCGTTCATTGTTGTGACGAACTTTTGATCTCTGAACAAAGTGCGGATGTGAGGGCCATCGAAAACGCCTTCTTTTAGTTTGGCATCGCTTATTTCCGGAAACTTCTCCCCTAAATATTGAAAACATTCACCATCCTTGTTCAAAGCTTTAACGAACTGCTTAATGAATTTTATAAATATTAGATTATAATATTAGAATTTATTTGAATTATCGTGTGCCGGAACCCAGGGCACCTCCACGTGGTGACGGCGGAAAACGGCTTTTTTTTGCTTTTTTGTTTTCCGGCAGAGCCCTGGGGTGAAGGCACGATGCCGTCATGGCCGGCACACGAAGGAGTACGATGCAGGGTTTCGGATGCCCAGTATCGGCGGTTGGTCAGGGTGAGCAAGCAGGCCCGCAATCGTCGTCATCAAGCGACTGCAGCTCTACAATGGTGGGTAACTTGGCCTTGGCAGAGTATGATGTTACAAGAACACAATCTACTTCTCACGAGTGTAATAAAAGTTCTGACTATTTCTGTTACGTTTGTGGAGAGTTTGAAATACCTAAAAACCGAAGAAAATTATCTAGTAACTTGGAAACTATTTACGAAGAATGCTTCGGATTGAAGGTTGAAAACCAAAATACAAGCTGGGTACCTCATATAATATGTAATCATTGCAGAGTAATGTTGACTCGATACAAGAAAGACAAAAATCGAAATCTGTTGAAATTTACGCAGCCTGTGATGTGGTCGGAACCGTCATGTCGAGAGGATTGCTATTTCTGTATGACTGACACATTTGGCTTTAATACCTCTAATAAATCAAACATTTTGTATGCAGAAGTACTTTCAGTAAGTAGGCCGAAAACACTCAAAATTGAAACTGCAGCTGAAGAACCTATGAATATCGACGACTCGGTCGTGGAAGAGGAAATGGATGTTTATGGAAGTGATGATGATGAAAGCGATGATGGTGAAATTGATGATGAAAATGTGACTAAAAGTGACAATGAAGATGATAAATATTTACCAGTAGGTGTTAAGCATAAGACTCCGGAAACGTTTGATCAGAAGGAGTTGAATGATCTCATAAGAAATTTGGGATTACCGAAAGATGGAGCTGAATATCTAGCAGCAGTATTAAAAAAGAAAAACTTGCTGTCAAAAGGAACCAAATCTTCTGTTTATCGGGATAGAGAAAAAGAATTTAGAAAATTTTTCACCAAGGATAAAGAAAATTCGTTAACATACTGTACAAATGTAAATGGTTTAATGGATACGTTGAAACCTGATATTTATAAAGATGAAGAGTGGAGACTGTTTATCGATTCTTCAAAACGGAGCCTGAAAGCTGTTCTTCTTCACAACGGGAATTTGTTTGCACCAATTCCAGTAGCTCATTCAACGAAGTTGAAAGAAACGTACGAAAATTTAGAAATAGTTTTGGATAAAATCAATTACGCAGAACATCAATGGAGAGTTTGCGGCGATCTTAAAATTTCAACCCTAATTTTGGGACAGCAGTCAGGCTTCACGAAAAGTCCATGTTTCTTGTGTCTTTGGGATAGTAGAGATAGACAAAATCACTATGTACGGAAAGAGTGGCCGAAGAGAGTAGATTTCCATCCTGGATCCAAAAACATTATACGTGAACCATTGATAGATCCTTCAAATATTCTGCTTCCTCCTCTTCATATCAAACTTGGTCTCATTAAGCAGTTCGTTAAAGCTTTGAACAAGGATGGTGAATGTTTTCAATATTTAGGGGAGAAGTTTCCGGAAATAAGCGATGCCAAACTAAAAGAAGGCGTTTTCGATGGCCCTCACATCCGCACTTTGTTCAGAGATCAAAAGTTCGTCACAACAATGAACGATACTGAAAAAGCGGCTTGGCTGAGTTTCAAGAAAGTTTCAGAGAATTTTTTGGGCAATCAAAAGAGTGACGATTACGTGACCATAGTTGAAAATTTATTGGCAAACTACAAAAAGTTAGGTTGCTTGATGAACTTAAAATTACATTTCCTACATTCTCATTTGGACTACTTTCCGGAAAATCTGGGAGACTACAGCGAAGAACAGGGTGAACGATTTCACCAAGATATCAAGGAAATGGAACGTCGGTATCAAGGAAGGTGGGATATAAATATGATGGCAGACTTTTGTTGGTCGCTAAAGAGGGACAACGAGCAAGTTACGCGAAAGAGGAAAAGAAATCCTCTGCATAGATCTTTTGAAGACAAAAGAGTTCGCTACGAAAGAATAAAAGTATAAGGTATTTTTTACGATCCCGTAGCGCTATTTGTTTCTTCAAGAATCGGTATCTCTATGAAGCGGGACTAGCTGTGCTTCAGTTTATTTGATTGGATTCTTTTGAAACGCATATCTTTTCTTGTTTTTATGTTCTCTTTTTTTTGTTGTTGTTTTTTTTTTCATGTTAGACACTGCATTGGTACATATCCTCTAATCTTAAGAAGGTGTATTTTTGTCATTTGCAATTGTGACATGAATTCTACATAAAAACATAAAGTGATCTTAAAGTGATATATGGGGTGTCGATAAAGTACATTTTTTTAACGTAAAAATTTCAGTTAGTGCCGGGTATGCACTGAGAATTTCACTTTCCGCAAAAGAAACAAATTTGACTTTGAAATGACCTTGACCTCCATCCGATGGGGTTATGCGGACTCCAGAGTCGAAGTCAGCGACCCCTAAAACTTATTAACATAGCAGTTTAGTTCTATGAAGCCACATTTTCGAAATTTTACAATTGACATGTAAACCCTTGGTATAGCAACATAAAGTGACCTTGGAATGACCTTAAGTCCTAAAAAAAAATAAATAAAACACATATCTGAACGTAAAATTTTCCGTTCTTTCAGAATCTGCAGTCAAAAATTCATTTTTTGCAAAATAAACATATTTGACTTTGAAATGACCTTGACTTTGACACGACGGGGTGAAACAGACCCCGAATTCGGATTCAGCGACCCTCAAAACCATAAAAACTATAGTCATTTCTTCTCGAACGACTTTTTTCGGGATTTGACCTTCAAATGCCCTTAAACCTGACGTGCTGGGGTCAAACTGACCCCGGATTCGGATTCAGCGCGTCAAAATACGTATGAGTACATATATGTCGTCTTTGGTACAGACCACTTTTTTTTTTTTGTGTGCCTGTGTTATTATAAAGGTTGTATATTTGGACGTATCTTTTTTACTCGACAAGTTAGATATTTTTGTTTAGTTTGAATGCTGCATGAAAATTTGGTGTTTGTCTGAATAAAAAATTGTAGATATTTTTTCGTTACACTTAATGACCTATTTTTTGCGTATACATAGCAAGGTGATAACGAACAAATGTAATCTCGACAAATTATGTTGAATGTATACAAATATTACGAAAATATATAAATTATTTTAGATACGTTCACGTAAAATATTTTGAACCAGAATTAGTTGCAATTCACATATTGAAATACTCCGCCATCCTTCAGCTCTTTCTATTTGCTTGAAATAATAGATTTTTAATTTTCTACTATGTATACGCCAGTGTTGTTATTTATATTTATTAAAACGATTGAAAATATACTGAAAAAATACTATAAATCCTATAAATAGCTTTGAGTTATTGGTTTAGTTATGGTTAGAGGTATCAATACAGTCAAACTCATTGTGGCGTTAACTGTCAAATTACAGTAATTTCTATATGCACTTCAATTCAACTGCTCAATAGATGGGCTTAATTTAATTAATTTAATTTAATTTTTCAAAAATTTAGGCATTCACAGTTAACAATCACTACTAAAATATCATTCATCGGTAAAAGATGATCCATGTATTTTACGGATAGCTTTAACGAGGGAAGTAATCCGGAAGATAAAATTCGGCAAAAATTCAGGTCGCTCCAGTTTCGACGAACCACTATAGCTGCCTAGGGTTGTTGACTTGATCGTCCACGTAACGAACGGGCGGGTCACGCGCGATTAAATTTAGCGGGTAGAAAGAAAGAGAGAGGGAGAAAGAGAGAGAGGGAGAGAGAAATGTCGGCTGGATCTATCTTGGCACAACTCCAC